TGGCACCAGCTTCTGCTTGGTTAAAAAGGATCCCACTGAAACCAAAATGGTCGTGGGGCTCTGGCTCTTATGATGCAAAATTTTCCATGGTATCGGCAAAGGGCTTGATTGGGGAACCCAACCAGGAAGGCACCACGGAACCCACCAACCTAGCAAGGCCCCCTGCCCCGAGCCTCAATCCTCCTCTTTTTCCCCGTCATTGCGGGAGAGTGGGTTGCTGCGAACCCTCCTGGGCTTCATGGGCCCAAACTCTCTTGCCGCCCATGGGGACCCAGAGTTAGTGTTGAAGGAGTTCGAGGTCAGGGGAACAAAGGACCCAAGGTTTCCTAACGGATCATCGCCTTCATCCTCGTCCATGTCAAGCTCCCTCTCCTCCTTCCTTGTTTGCAGGTAGGCCGACAAGGCCCCTTCTTGCGTGGCAGACAGCTCAACCCCAGCAACCTTCAGCAGGCCCTGGAGATCATGAACTTCCTTGGCTTCGGGCGGCTCGGCATTCTTGAGTTGCTCCTGCACCTGGGTCTGCACCTTCCCCAGGCTGTCCTCCGCCTTCTCGATGGCCTTGGAAACGTCTGCCAATTCTTTGAGGGCTTTTTCGAACTGGCCTTTGATCTTGTCAGCTCGCGCTTGCAGCCGCACTTTGCGCTCCACCAGGTTTCTGTGATCCTGGGTGATCGACGTGTACGCCGAAAGGTACTTCTGCAGCGTGACCCTTGGGTCATCACTCTTGTCCTCCGCCGGTGGCTCAATGCCACACGCACGAAGAACCTTCTGGGCTTGCGGGTCTGCATCCTGCCACAGACTGGCAACGGCATCCTCGTACTCCTGGGGAGTCATCTGAGCACCGGTCCATCCCAGTCCTGGCGGATACTCCACCTGCTTCTTCGGCTTGCGCGTCGGCTGCCATGCTGGTTCCCACCAGCTCTGTGCTTTCTGCATGTCCTGGCGAGCCCAGGCTTGCCACTTATTCCAGTCCTCTTGGCTGTTGCGCGCGGGACTTTGGGGCCTCTGTGGCTGGCTCGGTGGTGTGTAAGGTCCTGGCCAGGCAGCACCACAATGCCAGCAGCATGGGTACCAGGCCTTTTCCGATTTCCACACCCAGCACACTCCACATTGGGCACATGCCGTGTAGTTCTTGGCGGGCATGGCACTGAGATGCCCACACCCTGGCAACACCAGGTACCCGGCAGCCGGCGAAAGAGCCTACTGGTTGCACCAGTAAGCTGGTAACACCAGCAGAAGGGCACCAAGTCCAAGGACTGGTTGCAAGAGACCGCTACCCCAGCCTACGACCTTTAAGGTTCGCGGTTTGGGGTCTGGTAGGGACCTCTAGCAAAGTGAGCCCCAAGGCTAAAAGGCCACGACGGCACTGAAAGTCTTGCGCCAGAATCTTGAGCCGGAGGATAACTGTTTTTTTCTCGTCTTTGGCGAAGCGAGTCGCAGCCAGCTTTTAGCCGGCAAGTTTGGGTGAAACGTACTGTACTTACACCAGTGCTGTGGCCGCTTCAGCATCTGGTTTTGGCCTACAGCTTAGGCTCTTTGGCCCAGGACACCAGCTGAGCTGGTTGCTACTTTCACCAGTCTTTAGGTTTTCACCAGTCAGGCTGGTACTGGTAGCACCAGAGCTGTTGGTCCTGGTTTGCCCTAAGCTAAGGCTCTTTGGCCCAGAACACCAGCTGTGCTGGTTACTACTTGGCACCAGCCTTCTGGGTTTCCACCAGTTTGGCTGGTACTGGTAGCACCAGTTTGGTTTCCAGGCTGTGGCCTGAGCCCTTGCCCCCTATGGGAAGGGAAGGACCAACCAGGTTTTCCCTGGTACCAAGTCGTGGAGGTATACCCTTCCGGGAGGAGAGGTTGTCCAAGGATCCCCTCCGGCGTGATGGCAAGCACGTTTGCTTGAACCAACACGTGCATGAGGCTCTCGTAGTCCTCACGCGGGAGCGTGGCCCTTGCGTACACCTTCAAGGCGTACGTCAGACTCTCAAGACTGGTATGGTACTCCTGCACCAATCCTTTGAGCTCGGCCTTCATCTCGGAGTCGTGCGCCTCTATGGTCTTCCAGAAGCCCGACAGTCTTTGGACGTTTGCCAGGGGGATAGGGTTCCCACCCCAGCACGTCCACCACCACCAGCTCCGGCACCTCGTCGGGGCCTGGGGCAAAAAGCGAAGGCCCATGTTGGCCCGCCCTATGTCTTTCACCAAGAGTATCTTGGCTAAAAGGGCCACCGTGAACATGGTTTGCATCACTTGGATGCGGCTGAGCTGCGCGGGCATGGGGGTCACAGCCTCCATCTCTATGAGGGTGACCCATAAGATCTCCTGGTTAGCACCAGGGCCCTGCTCCCACATCTTGTACCGCCCCTGTGGCTCTGCACACCAGGACTTCCTGGTCTTGTGGGTAGGTTGAGATTTTCCACACAACCCCTGCCTTGTGCGGCGTGAAGGTCACTACACGTGACCCTCCCAGTCCTACCACCACCAGGCTGAGCCTGGTTACGTCTGGTGTGTCAGACTCCACTTGCACCTGCTCCTTGTACCGACTATGGTACGGCTTCACATCCTTCTTCATTTGGATCGTGAAGGTCATGGTGTTGGTGTAATCCGGCTCTGGGTTGTTTACAGCCGGCCCTGGTGGGAGCTCTCTGACCCTTGCTGGCGCAATGGTTGAGCCACTGCTCTCCGGGGTCTGCACCGGAGCTCTAGGGCTTTCCTCCTCTGGACCCTCCAGGTCCTGCTATTCTGCAGTTGGGGCCTGGTTGGCACCAGGGTCGCGGGAGGCTTTTGTTGACTCCTTGTCCTCTTCCTTTGCTGCCTGGTTTCCACCAGGGCTTTGGGATGGTTGAGCAAGGTGCTCAACCTGGACTTCCACAGTAGCCCTGGGGCTTGCAGGCTCAGTTGCTTGCGAGGTTTCTTCTTTGGGGTTTGAGGCCGGTTCTGTGTCCGACCTTTCTGCTTTTTCCGCCTGGTTTGCACCAGGGCCTTCCCCGCTTGGGGATTCAAGGCTCCAAGCCGGCTCTGTAGGGCTAGGCTCCGGCTTGGCTGTTTGGCCCTCCGGCTTTGCCGGGCTCTCCTCCTCTTCCTGGTCATCACCAGGTTCACTTTTCTGCTCTTCATTGTTGTCTGCTGCTTCAGAGGAGGAGGAGGAGCTGCTAGGTTCCCCACCTGGGCCGCCCTGGCCTTGTTTGGCTTGCCCTTGTCTGGCCCGCGCTCCTTCTCTTATGGTCGTGAGGCTCCTCATCCGTGCTATAGTACGAATACACTTCGGCAGTGGGTGCCGGGGCTGGGGCTGTTGTGTCCATTGCCGCCGCCGGCCTCTTCCTTGCCGGGGGTGGCGTGGGAGGCACTTGTGCTTTGCCCTCCTCCTTGCCGGGGCCTTTTCCTTTTCCTTTGTTTTGCTTGCCCTTCTCCTTTCCTTTATCCTTTCCTTTAAACTCCTTGCCTTTGACACCAGGTGGTGGAGGGACTCCCCTGGTTGTTTTTCCTTGCTGGCGTTCCTTCTTTCCCGGTCTGTTCCTGTTGTACCACTTCTTGTAGTCCGAGAGAGGAAACCTGGCAGGAGTATTGCCTGGTCTGGCACCAGGTCTTTCCCAGGAGCTGCTTGGTCTCTCCCAGGAGCTGCTAGGCGCTTCTGCTGGTGTGGCACCAGCTTCAGTGTTTTCCTGGGTGGTACCAGGCTCTTCCTCCTGGTCCTCACCAGGATTTTCTCTCTGGTCCTCTTCAGGCTGCTGTTCCTGGCCCTCACCAGGATTATCGTTTGCCATGGCAGGGCTCCGCTGGACGAAACCCCAGCTCTGAGCCAAAAGCTTCCACTCAAAACTTCAGTCTGGTCTGTTTGGGGTCCTCACTGTGGGGCCTGGCTAGACCAGCTTTTGGCTTAGGCTTGGCTTTAGGGGCTTTTCCCAGGCTTTTGCCCTCTTGAGCCTGGGGAGGTTTTTCAGGCGGGCCTTTAGGCTTGAGTTGGGTGAGGGCCTTTCGGGGGTCTTGTGTGCTTGGCTGTCTCAGAGGCTGGCTTTTGGCTCGGGTTTGGGCACCCTTAGCTTTGGTTTTCTTCTTGTTACTGGCTTCTTGGTTGACACCAACAGCATCACCAGCAACATCATCACCAGCATCACCAGCATCCCCACCCCTTCTAGGCTCCTCCCTGCCCTGCTCCACACTGTCTGTCTTTTTGCGGTCCATGGCGTCCGGCGAGCTGTCCTTTTGAGGGGCCCGTTGGGCTGTCTTAAAAAAGCCTGATTTCTGCGGGGCAAACTTTTGAATGCACTGCAAGATCTCTGGGTCCTTGCCCACGTAGACCTGTCGACACTGTTTACCCAGGCTTGGGTACAGCTCTTTATTTCCGAAGCACCGTGAAAACTTCAAAAGGAATATGTGAAAGTCGAATATCATAAAGTATGAATTCAACAATCCACTCTTTCCAATGTGTAAAAATTGGGACTCTCTGCAATCGGACTCTTTCTTTCGCAACTGGGGCAAGGTGCTGGCAGTCTGAGTCATAGGCTCAGGGATAGGCTCCTCCTCCTCTGGCATGCGGACTGCACTTGCCCAAGGGAGGGAGGGTGGTACAAAAATTTTCCTGCTCGCAAAGCTTGAGGTTTCATGCACGGCAACAAAGACATCGCGCAAACCCTCATGCTAAAACTGTCATGCACTAAAAAGGAGAATTCGTGCAGAAATGCAGGAAAATGTCTTTCTGTCATTGAAAAGTAGTCCACATACTCAAAAAGAGTGTCCGACTACTTTTCAAAATAAATCCACAACAAGCCTAGTTTTTACTAATTTCGTTTCAAACGAAATTTGCTTTTGGAAATAAAGGTTTCATCCTTGTTAGAGGAGTTCGACCTTATTTCCGAAGCACCGTGAAAACTTCAAAAGGAATATGTGAAAGTCGAATATCATAAAGTATGAATTCAACAATCCACTCTTTCCAATGTGTAAAAATTGGGACTCTCTGCAATCGGACTCTTTCTTTCGCAACTGGGGCAAGGTGCTGGCAGTCTGAGTCACCCCAATGGAAAATACTGCCGTGCCACCGCATCCCAGTCAACGCGAAGCCTCGAGCATCCAATATTCAAGAGACCCTCGTACTCACCCCTGCTGGGGGAGTCCGCAATGTTGCTGTGCGTAGGTACACGAGCGTACCATGCGTGGATTTGAAGGGATGTCTCCTTTGAGAGGATGCCATCGATAATCACACGAGCGAGTGCAGCGCCTCCGCCCGCGGCTATTATCGAATGGCGAGCACCTTCGTTGTCCACATAAAAAACAGCTTGAGAAAATCTGCACCACTGGCCCCAGAGCCTATACGCAAGTAGGACGGGCAGAAGCTCAAGCTCGAAAATAGGGTTCTGCGAGTCTCGCAGCAAGATCCTCATAATGTCCTGCGGGACTTGCTCACTGAAGAAGGATATCGGACGGCCATTAAGGCCCACGATCACTCCTCCAATGGATCCCAGCTTTTTCCCGCCTTCGCAGGCTCCATCTGTGAAGATGAGCCAAGACTGATGGTTTTTTGTAGCAATGGTCACAGGCTCAGCCACCCTCAGCCTCTCGCGAATGACAACAAGACTCTTCCTAACATCTTCAGGCAAACTCTTCGTAGTCAGCCCCGCTCTGGCTGCACGGTCCACCGTTCGGATGGACGAGTTCGACATTCGTCCGAAAACAAACCCCTCGAAGAACACCAACCTGCCTCTGAGCCTTTCAGCAGTTTTGAGGTCAAGACAATTGGCGTTCAAGATGCTTTCGATGAACACACTCAGCTCTTCTCGGCGCTCGGCAGTGTTCCCGATCCTCACAGTTCCCCGAGGGGCATCATTCAAATCCACTTTGACTCCCAACAGCTTAAATTCTCGAGAGAACGGTGGTGCTTTCTTGCCTTCCCGAGCAAAGTCAACTCCGAGGAGATCAAAGATGGCACATATGCAGGAGTCGGTGTTGGCAACAAGTTCATCTCGAGTCGTGACTCCGAAGTCGTCGAAAAAGGCTGTCCAGAAAATACTGAACAGCCTCATGCCTATCAGCCATATGCTCAACGAGATGCGGAGGAAAGCCGCAACACTGCCCACTGCACCGAACGGCAAGGAGTTCGCACCCATGATCATGGGCTCCGCCTCGCCTGGTTTGTTCACTGCAAATCGAAAGAGCTCCCGGTCTGTAGGGTGGATTCCAAACTGTTTGTATGCACTTTTAAGATCGTATACGCGACCCTTGCACGCAGGCAACTTGCCATCGTTGATGCGTAGCGCCTTGGAAATCCAAGCGGCATACCTATCAATCGAGTGCATTTGGAAACCATACTTCAAGCCAACAGTTGCGTTGATACCGCATATACTGGCGTCATCTATGACGCGCACCTTGTCAAGCTGTCTGATTCCAAATCTACGGGCCAAAGCGCACAACTCTATGCAACTTTTTGTGTCAGCAAAAATCCACCCTTTTTGCAGTTCCTTCTCAGTTTCTAGCCATGTTGCCCTTTCCAAGTCTTCATCCTGCCGGACGCGCATTTTCTCGGCCGTCGACTGATTTAGACCTTTTGCCAAGCATCTAAGGGTAGAAACCGAAAAAGAAGGGGGCCTAACCTTTGGAGGGAAAAGCCCTCCCTGCGACAACCAACCCGACAACCTAAATCCCTCACACATGTGGGAGATTAGCTGGTCGTCTGGTGATCCAGCCGCTTTGTGCATTTCCTGCCACAAGAGTAGCCGCTTGCCCTCCAGCAGCGAACGCAGGTGCTCTGGCAAACTCTGGTGTAACTCCTCTTCTTTTTGCTCTAACTGTTTGGCTCTGGTAGTCCAATGCTTTAGAGCAGCAACCCTAGAGGTCACGGTTTGCGCTGGCGGATCGCTAAAGTTTGCTTTGATTGACTGTATGACCAGCTTTGACACATGTGCACTTCCGTCCCTAGGGTGGCCGGCTTGCACTGCTCGTTGCACGAATGCCTCGGGCTCGGAAGGCAGGCCAATTTTTACCAACTCACCCTCAAGCAACTCTGATTTGCCATCCGCCAATGTAACTTCACTAGAGGAAATGATCAGGGTCTTACAAGCCTCTTCATAACCCCTATCAAAGGTCAGGCGAGACAAGACCCGAGACCCTTTAGGCAGTCCATCGAGCAAAGATGCATCGGTTGAAGGAGGGTCAGCAGGCACAGCCACAAACTTGAAAGACACAAATTCATGCACCAAAGGTGGGTTGCGCCGTCCTCGCGGCAATGCGTTCAAAGCCAGTCGACCATCGAAGGTGGAATCGGACTCTCGGGTTTGAGAGACCGTTGCGAATTCCTGAACCCCAGACTGGAGAAGGGAAGCTTTGACTTTGGCTATGACCCGCTGACCGAAAAGACCGGGCAAACCTGGAGGCGGGTCACCAAGTCTTTCGAGGCATCCACGGTGCATGGGAATGCAGGCCCGAGCACTTGAGAGCCAGGGCTGACCAATCACCCTGTGCTGTGGCCATCTGATAAGGCCGAGGGCGGCCGTCACCATGACAACACAGGTCACATCGATGCAGTTGCAAAGGGAGACTTTGAATCAGCTGAAGGATGAAAGGATCATCCCAGAACTGAGATTTTGGAGAACCCGCAATAACAAAGGGAATCCCAAGGTTCGCGGCAAGTTCACCCAATGTGCAAAGATTTGCAGCCCAAGAGGAACACGGTTGAGATGGCAGCTCGCACCAGACAAGAGCAAGTCTATTTTTCTCGGCTTCGACAAGTTTTTGGAAGCTTTCAAAGTCGCTGCCCAAGTCAAGTGGTAGGCATCTGACCCCATGCACAAAAGCTGGGGGAGCACTGCACAGTATATGTCGCATGCCTGCAGCAAGAGCAGCGCGATGCAGATCAGCAGTGCGACCGTTCACCTCAAGAAACAGGTATTCTCCGACATGTCCCAGATTTACCGGAGCATCGGCGGGCACCGGGCTTCTGGATCTATCCTGCAAGAGATCACGCTTGATCGGCGTCCACACATGCGGAGCCACGGTCTTAGTGGGATTAGGGCTAAACCTTATCTCAGGCGGTATGGCTCGCTCCTCGGCAGCATAGCTGGTTGTAGCACCGGACGGTGCAGCACGGGAGGGGGGGGACTAAACCCAAAGGCATTATCTGGGAGAGACACGGTTTGTGATGCACACTGGAAGCCGAGATCAAGCAGCCTCTGCCGATCATCGCTTGACACTTTTTGGAAGTCCCTGACAGTGTATCCGACCAGCACGAGACGCCGCCCCGTCCAGGGGAGCGTAGCATGAAACAAGTTCCTTGCATCCAAAGTGATTTTATTATCCTCCCAGGGAATCGCATGACCCTTCAAGACACGTCCTTTAGGATCAGTCATTTCAATGTCGCCATCACCCTCAACCCACACGGCCCCTCCTTGGAATTCGGACAACTTCAGCAGGATGTTGCAGCAGGAGTCGTCGTTGTTGGAATCGCGATGCACCTCGGAAGAACAGTCATCTAGGATAATAAAGCTTGTAAAGAACTCGCCCGGAGCAAACCTCCGTAGGTGTGCCGCGAAGACAGCACACACGTTTGGAAAAAGGTTCGTATTGGAATGAAGGCCGTAAAGGCCCCCTTGTGCATACGCCCCAGCACCGAAGGAGCGTCCAACCTTCCCCCGTGGAGGGTTCTGCATTGGTAGCAGCTCAATCAGCTGCAACAGCGAAGATTGGTCGAAAGGACCGGTCATTTGCAAAATGGACGCGGCAAGGGACTCCACATCACTCGAGGCTCGCGAAGCTTCACTCGAGGCAGCGGGAGTCGCCTCTACCCGTCACGAGCCTCCTTTTCGGCAACTTGGGAAGCTGTGGCCGGCCTTGTGGCATCCGGCACAAACATGATATCCCTTCGCACACCTAATTCCGTGAGCATCCTTCTTTGTTTCAAGAGAACACCCCTCAGCGAGGTTGAAGGACCAACAGATAGGCCCCTTGATCTTGGTGACACATCCTTTCAAAGACTCTGGCACAAGGTTTGTAAGACGCTTGCGCTTTTTCTTCTTGTTAGCCTTCTCAGCCAATGCTGCGGCAGCAGCTGCATCGGAAGGGATGGAAGGCGGTGGAGCGACTCTCTGAGGTTGCGGCGCCGTGACAAGGTGAACGACTACGCGAGGGTCTTTGGCCAGCCGCCTCAAAGCAGCCGCCATCACCAGCTCGCCAGCCGCATCTTTTACCCCGATCGGTCCCTCAATCTCACGGCTCATCAATGTCCAAGCCTCCCGGTCTGCCCTGATGACTTGGGCAATCGCGGGCCTGGCCCCGGACACTGGCTCTCCATGAAGATAGGACATAAGGCTCTGTACGTACCACTCATGGTCCGACCAGCCGATGAGGCTACACTGATCCAAAGCCAAACCTCGTCTCTGGAAACAGTAAAGAAGTTGCAAGGCAGTGGTGGCATCAGCATCAGGTAACTTGTTGCTTGCACTAACCTTCAAGGTGCCTGCTTCAATTTGGACCAACGAGGTTTTCTCCTTCCCTAGTTGTTGCACCTCAGCATCACGCTTTGTGCAACGCGAGGGGCTGATCCAAGTGATGCTGTTGGATTCGGCCATGAGGGCACAAGCATCCACCAGCGCGTAGCTGGGCTGCAGCTCCCCCTCTATCAGAAGCCCGGGCAGTCGGGACTTTTGCGAAGTCAAACGTGCCTGCTTTTCAACATGCGGCAACTTACGACCAGCAAGATCTGAATCATCCGCTGTCGCCTGGGCTCGCAACTGTGCCACCACCAGTGTAGAGGCTTCAAAGATAAGCATGCGAACGTTCGCAATCTGTCCGATCGTCGGCTGAGTACCCTCGGCACATTTGTATACTTTAGCCGCAAGGTCCCTCAGAGCATCATCCGATGGGGGCGTTTGGGGGCTCCCAAGTGCAAATGCTAACTGACGCAGCGTCTTCACTCCATTGGCCTTCAGAGACTCGAAAAGCGAGTCGTCCCCCTCGATGGGCAGGCACCTCTGTTTGAGCGAAGCCTCACTGTCAATTAGAGCCATTGCGCAGAGAAATCGAAAAAGATACCGACACAAAATTGGAGTGCACTCACCTGACAAATTAACTCATGAGTGTCCTACCACAAAGAGCTCGCAACAGGCTTCAGATTGAACCGCACGCGCGCTCAAGAAAGCTCACACAGTGAATCCACTTGGCGCCCTCAGCTCAAACGAAGCAGCTCAGCTCACTCACTGGAGAACAGATTTTCTCAGTTACCAGCAGCTGCAGACCTCATACACTGGCTACACACTCCTGTATCATACCTCATTATGCCAGGGGCGACATATGCTTGCGAGATCGGCCTTCCACACATTAGACGCCGCACATACCCGTCCTTCTTCAAGTGACAGATCCTGGACTTTGTATGCCTGATGAAGCTGGTTCCCTCAGGCGCTGAAGGAGGATGCAAAAGACGCGGCGGTCTGGGGCCCGCCCCACTTCCGTCGCTCTCCGATGAACTGGAGGCCCCTTCTGCCGAAGAGTCCGGGTCTTCGTCGTCGGTGACTCTGGGCTCATCACCGCCCAAGTCTGCCAACTCGCCCAAGCCCCCCGCTGCAGAAAGCCGCTCCTCGGGGTCATCAGCCTCGAAGTCCAACTCTCCGCCGAAGCCCTGAAAATCAGCTGTTTCAATCTGCAAATCTCCCGGATGCACGATTTCCTGATCGCGGTTCTGCCCCTCGCTCGGGGCTGAGACGTCCCTCACTTGATCCCACCAAGCCTGCTCAAGCTCTTCTGAAGAGGTAAATCTTCCCGAACGAGTGTTGTCTGGGTGAAAGCGTCCATCCCTCACCCACTGCAACATCCGGCTTAACTCAAAAAGCGGACCTGCGGCTGCGTCACGGCTGTAGCGGAAAACAGTCTTGCTGGTCCCTACATGATATCCCAAACACGCCCTGACATCTTGAGATGCTCCAAATTTCGCCATCCAAGAAAGGAGCGTGCATTTCGCAGAGTGACTGGACAGCTTTCTGTTGGCCTCCGCCGCACCTGGAAGGAGCTTCCTGATCCAAGCTGACATTTCACCTGACGAAAGCGGGCGCACTGTTGGACGCCCTGTAACGTCTGGTGCTGGCATAGCGGGCCAACCACTTGTGCAAGGCTTGAAACCCAAAGACTCGCACCGGCTAATCCAACGTTCAACCCACTGGCTTGATGTAACCCCAACGCACGGGCCGGTCATCGTCAAGAACTGGTGTCGATGCTGTCTCGACTGCATTGATTTGTGATGGCCGGTGATCAGATCGATGTAACACAAACGACCTAAAGCATCCCGATCCAATTGCAAATCCTCGCAGCACTGCAAGTCAGCCCATCTAGACCTCAAGTAGATGGCGGTCAATACGGCTCCAGCAAAGGCTGCATCCCAGTCGTCAAGAGCCTGGTGCACTATCTCATGCAACTCCAAAACTTCCTCTAGGGAGAAAGGCGAAGCTTGATTGACCCGTGCTCGCGGCTCGACATAACATACTCCTTGGCACCTTCTGCTAAAAACCAGCTCCTCGCACTCTTCAATGTTCAAGACGAAGTAGCAAAAGTTCAAAGCTTCAAGGATGCCCTTCCGCCCGGACTGGGCCTTACCTTTGGCACGTAGCTTGCACAAAGCGTCATACAGATGTTGCTCACCTGGGGGGAAAAGGAGCCCTTCCTCCGAGAGCAGCTTGTCAAGCAAGAAAAGAGATGAAGCCCTCTTGTTCAAAGTACTAGGGGCCTTTGGTCTCAAGTAATCAGCCAGGATGTCCATGCCTTCCGCCACAGTGGCGCTGGAAACTTGCTTCACCACCAGAAGCTCTGACTTCCAAAGCAAGACCAAATTATACCACCTCTTTATAGCTTTCTGTGTTTGACAATCCAAAGCTTCCTTCCAAGACAAAACTTCGATGTTTTGCACACACTGCAGATACAGCCTCCTACCAGCAATAGTCGGCTGCAGGATCTTACGGAGTTCCACATCCACAGGGCGATCTGTAGCAGCGGGTCTGCAGAGGGCCGAAGCACTGAAATCTTTTAATAAGTCACATGATGGCAACAAAGCACTCAACGGGTCTTCGGGCTCTTGGGGCCGCAAGGAATTCCAGGCCGCACGAACCTCCTCCGCGAAGTCGTGCTTATTCTCCCCCATAGCAACCACACGACGCAGCAAGGACCCTCTCTCACGGCAGGGGCCGCAGACCAGCTGCAATGGCCACAACAAGAATTTCTTCCAAGAAATCTCTGCGTGTGGCAGCACTCGAGGCCAGTAAAGCAGCTCTGGCCACAGGATCCAGAAAATTCCACAGCGCAACAGTCACCCGAATTTTGCAGGCAGGTCCCGAAGCAAATACGCAATCAAAACTCAGATCGCTAAAGTGAGAGCTTGCGGAGGTACTGGCCAAAGAATCTGAAGACTCGCTGTCCTCGTATTCCATGCGACGCCCCGCCCCACCCACTAGAAGCAGCGGGTTAGCACCTTGGGCCTTTTAGCAAGATCCTACACGTGTCTGCCGGGTGGCCTGCCACACCTACCAGTGCTCACTCCCCTTGCAGCGAGAGCAAGCCCTCAAGCCACTATTCCGTCGGGGGAACCCTGGCAACGGTGTACGGCACCACAGCAGAAGGATCTCAAGGCTCACAAAAATTTTCCTGCTCGCAAAGCTTGAGGTTTCATGCACGGCAACAAAGACATCGCGCAAACCCTCATGCTAAAACTGTCATGCACTAAAAAGGAGAATTCGTGCAGAAATGCAGGAAAATGTCTTTCTGTCATTGAAAAGTAGTCCACATACTCAAAAAGAGTGTCCGACTACTTTTCAAAATAAATCCACAACAAGCCTAGTTTTTACTAATTTCGTTTCAAACGAAATTTGCTTTTGGAAATAAAGGTTTCATCCTTGTTAGAGGAGTTCGACCTGGTGTCCGATCCATTGGCGGACACCACACTTGCAGCAGAGCCACATTCGGCCTGCATTGACCATCTTGCGTGAGGGGTGCTCTCCCATGTGTGGGGCTGAAGGTTCCATCCACTTGCACGTGTGTCCAATTTTCTTAGCAAAAGTTGCCTTGGCCTCAACTTGCTCAATGTAGTGCCCACACCTTGTGCAGTTGACACACAAGTTGTCCCTACTGCGGTGACCTTCTCTCCATTGATGCCCCATCTCCGGTTTGTGACCGGCGAGGAGGGCCTCCAGTTGCTGCCTTTTGTTGGGGCCTTCACTGGGGCTAGGTTGGACTGGTTTATCACCAGTTTCCCGTTTCCTCCCTTTGGTTTGGAGGCTGGTCTTGACCTTGGGGCCTGGTTTTTTCTTACTTTTTTGGTTTTCCTGGTCTTTTGCACCAGGTTTTTCTGGGAAAACTACCTGGGGTCCTTCACCAGTGCCGTACTGGAACAGTTCCTGTACTCTGTTTGCCAGGAAACCATTGATGCGACCTACCACCTCATCTTTGATGAGAATCTGTTGCTCCCACTGAAGGTTTCTTCGCTGGTTTGCCGCAGCTTGCACCAGCTTGTCGACCTCCTGGTTTGCCTCCCAGCGCCACCAGTTTTCTTCGCCAAACTTCTTCTGGAATTCTTTCTGGGACAGGTGGGAGTTTACCCAGGTGAGGCACAGGCGGTCTCGGTGGTTGCGCAAGCTCTGAAAGGAGGATAACTGTTTTTCTCGTCTTTGGCGAAGCGAGTCGCAGCCAGCTTTTAGCCGGCAAGTTTGGGTGAAACGTACTGTACTTACACCAGTGCTGTGGCCGCTTCAGCAACTGGTTTTGGCCTACAGCTTAGGCTCTTTGGCCCAGGACAGCAGCTGAGCTGGTTGCTACTTTCACCAGTCTTTAGGTTTTCACCAGTCAGGCTGGTACTGGTAGCACCAGAGCTGTTGGTCCTGGTTTGCCCTAAGCTAAGGCTCTTTGGCCCAGAACACCAGCTGTGCTGGTTACTACTTGGCACCAGCCTTCTGGGTTTCCACCAGTTTGGCTGGTACTGGTAGCACCAGTTTGGTTTCCAGGCTGTGGCCTGAGCCTTTGCTCCCTATGGGAAGGGAAGGACCAACCAGGTTTTCCCTGGTACCAAGTCGTGGAGGTACCCTTCCGGGAGGAGAGGTTGTCCAAGGATCCCCTCCGGCGTGATGGCAAGCACGTTTGCTTGAACCAACACGTGCATGAGGCTCTCGTAGTCCTCACGCGGGAGCGTGGCCCTTGCGTACACCTTCAAGGCGTACGTCAGACTCTCAAGACTGGTATGGTACTCCTGCACCTCGGAGTCGTGCGCCTCTATGGTCTTCCAGAAGCCCGACAGTCTTTGGACGTTTGGCCACTGGGGCCGAGCCCCAGGGGGATAGGGTTCCCACCCCAGCACGTCCACCACCACCAGCTCCGGCACCTCGTCCGGGCCTGGGCGCAAAAAGCGAAGGCCCATGTTGGCCCGCCCTATGTCTTTCACCAAGAGTATCTTGGCTAAAAGGGCCACCGTGAACATGGCTTGCGTCACTTGGATGCGGCTGAGCTGCGCGGGCATGGGGGTCACAGCCTCCATCTCTATGAGGGTGACCCATAAGATCTCCTGGTTAGCACCAGGGCCCTGCTCCCACATCTTGTGTACACCGGCATGCCTGGCAAGTCCCGGAGTCACCGCCCCTGTGGCTCTGCACACCAGGACTTCCTGGTCTTGTGGGTAGGTTGAGATTTTCCACACAACCCCTGCCTTGTGCGGCGTGAAGGTCACTACACGTGACCCTCCCAGTCCTACCACCACCAGGCTGAGCCTGGTTACGTCTGGTGTGTCAGAGCTGGTGTACTCCACTTGCACCTGCTCCTTGTACCGACTATGGTACGGCTTCACATCCTTCTTCATTTGGATCGTGAAGGTCATGGTGTTGGTGTAATCCGGCTCTGGGTTGTTTACAGCCGGCCCTGGTGGGAGCTCTCTGACCCTTGCTGGCGCAATGGTTGAGCCACTGCTCTCCGGGGTCTGCACCGGAGCTCTAGGGCTTTCCTCCTCTGGACCCTCCAGGTCCTGCTGTTCTGCAGTTGGGGCCTGGTTGGCACCAGGGTCGCGGGAGGCTTTTGTTGACTCCTTGTCCTCTTCCTTTGCTGCCTGGTTTCCACCAGGGCTTTGGGATGGTTGAGCAAGGTGCCGGTTCTGTGTCCGACCTTTCTGCTTTTTCCTCCTGGTTTGCACCAGGGGCTTCCCCGCTTGGGGATTCAAGGCTCCAAGCCGGCTCTGTAGGGCTAGGCTCCGGCTTGGCTGTTTGGCCCTCCGGCTTTGCCGGGCTCTCCTCCTTTTTGCTGGTCATCACCAGGTTCACTTTTCTGCTCTTCGTTGTTGTCTGCTGCCTCAGAGGAGGAGGAGGAGCTGCTAGGTTCCCCACCTGGGCCGCCCTGGCCTTGTTTGGCTTGCCCTTGTCTGGCCCGCGCTCCTTCTCTTATGGTCGTGAGGAAGCTTGGTGTGGGCTTGGGCTTGGCAGCGGTGGTCGGCTCCTCATCCGTACTATAGTACGAATACACTTCGGCAGTGGGTGCCGGGGCTGGGGCTGTTGTGTCCATTGCCGCCGCCGGCCTCTTCCTTGCCGGGGGTGGCGTGGGAGGCACTTGTGCTTTGCCCTCCTCCTTGCCGGGTTCGGTTAATGTATTCGCAGCTGCTTCCTATTTGCAGCTTTATATGTAAAAATGTATACATATAAAGCAAAGAATGTATAAGAAAGGGAATTGATGCAGTCACTCGCACACACTCGCTCCTTTTGTTCTCTGGCGGGAAATGCAGATCCGAGCTTCAGCAGCAAGAAGCTGCCTGTGAAAAGGGTCTGCATGTTTTCCCCCAAACGCAATCTGCCAGAGAACCGAAGTCGCGCATCAATTCCCCAAATGAAAAACGTGCGACAAGGTGATTAGAGTGCGGCTCCCAATGGAGAGCTGCTCGGAATGCTGAAAGGAGGCTTCCATGATGGAGCGAAATCGAAATGGAAGGCGAAGCATTCCAAAGTGACGTTAAAGCAATACGACGCCTTCGTGAGAGGCTCCACCGCAAAAAGTCAGCTTCAGTGTTCTTTGGACCTGCAATGTGATGTACATCCAAGTGGACACCAGTAAAACTGCTTAAAATGGCCAGTCGCTGCACAAATGCAGCGAGAGGCCAGGACGTAGTGAATAGCTTGTTGGCAGTGGCTTCGGCACCACTGTTGTCACACCAGGAATGCATGCGAACTGAAAGCTTGCATCCTGGGCTGAGAACACTCAAAAGCCAAACTAATGCAATCTGACCGAGGCACTCGTAACATGTAATGTCTTTGTGCGCTTCAGACTTTAATGGAAGCTCTGCAAATGCAAAATCCTCCACCGTAAAGCATTCTGAAAACCAAAATTCACCTCCTGGCAAAGCAATGTAGCCACCTATAGCAAAAGTGCGGCCGTTGCCCATGGCATCAGCTGCTGCCTCCACATGTAAATGCTCCATAGGGCGAAGCGATCGCCAAATTGGAGGTAATGCAGACCAATCAAGCCAGAACTGCAACAGACTTCTGGAGGATGGACTCAATGCACGACGCTTTGAGGCAGAATCTGCAATTCGAAGCCATATATCCTTATCTCCCAGGTTGCAATGTAAAAGTTCTCGCTTGGTGGAAACCTTGTGATGTCTCACCGCAAGAACACGACTGCCAACCGTAACCGCTGACCCAGGAGGTAACCTGACCAAATGTAAAGTATCGTTCAAGCAGGAAATGAAAGATTGCCAGTCGTTCTGCCGGACGCTGAAGTTGGTTGCACGTGGAGTGTTGAGGTCCTGATAAAGAGACCGCAGCCATGGCCTAGCCAATGGAAAAAGTTTGAAAAGCCACTGCAACATGCCACACAGCTTGCTCAAGGTAGCGCGGTCAGTGTACTTGCCACGGAGTGCCGAAACGATGACAGAATGCAACCTTTCAAGCTTGTCCGATGGGATGCAAACACATCCCATACTGAAATTGAGCTCCCATCCTATCCAACGGATGGAGCATCCAAACTGTATGTAATTTCTTCCAGGATAAAGGGATGGAAAAGGCCCCACAGAAACACAAAGTGATGCAAAAGCTCATCTCTGCAACTGATGCAGATTGGAAGCCAAGTAAGTCGTCCACATACATTGCCAGCCAGTGGGCAATGAAAATCAAACGATGAAGG